CAGTATCTTGAAGAATTTCAAATACATCAAAATTGGCTTTATGGTTAATATCTGTGTACCTACCATTCAGTTTTGATGATTACCATTTCCCTGAACATGCTCTTTTGCATCCATCTATCCTATTGGTCCTTAAGCTTTGGAGTCAGTCAAGGCCTTGCTGCCATGGGGTTTGTGGTTCTTTTACCTCCTTGTGTATTCCTGATGTCTAGTCACCCTAGGCAAGGAGCCAACAGCAAATGAAAAGTGAACCAATGATTTTCTTGGGGTTATTTGCTGGAGTATGGGTGAGGGTTACTTCGAGTAGCAGAAATGACTTAGAGCTGCATCTGCAAAGCCCCCTGCAGAAGTACTAGCTCCTGAAAGCAGGAAGCTTAGAACCCACAACTTGGCAGGCAGCTCAGCAGGTTGAAAGGTGTCTCTCTAGGCAGGCAGTTGGCCTCTGCTTCTTCCAGGGAGCTTGTTTTATCTGAATCAGTCTAAGCAGCTCTTAGGGTTAATACATGCTTGAGGAAGGAAGGGCCTAGTGAGTGGCCTAGTGAGCAGCCTAGTGAGCAGCCTAGTGAGCCTGGTCAATTTCAGGGACTCTGAAGTTATTGAGTTGTTTACTTCCTGAGCTTAATGAGCTTCCCTGTAGAACAGAATATTTGTCTTCCCCTTAAAACATCCTGTTGTTTACCTCCCTTCAGACACCCGGCTGTTTACCAGATGTTGTTTAGAACATTTTGTTGTTCTTCTCAGCTTCCCTCCAGATGGATGATTTTATCTTGGAGGAAATTAGCTATGTAATACTTTTGAGTGCCAGTTTTAATTTAGTAATGCTGCCCTGTATACAGCTACTCTAGGAGTGGTTTATTTTCTTGGCTGCCAGAATTGTAAGGACTTAGTATCCTTTATGTTGTCACCATTTCCAGAAGAGGCACAGTAACTTCTTGATGACATTTCATGATATGCCTGGAAGGTAAGATTGGTTTAACAGTATTTTGACGGATCACCTGCCTCCAAACCATTGGAATGACCCAGGGACACTGGTATGTCACTGAACACTCAGTGAGTGTCAGCAAAATACAGGGATTATGAAAGCAGCTTCTATCCTGGGTAATGTGAACGTTTTAGTGATGTGGTTTGTATAGTTTCCTTACCTGCTGGTAATTAAACATTTGCTGCTAAAAGTAAACTAAAGTTGAGCTAGCAAAATAGAACATATATTTTATCTGTGGTGCACATGTGTGCTAAGTGCTTTTCTAGGACTGGTCAGAAAGACCAATAAGGTTTCTGGTATTTTGCCAGGAGTTAGTGACTTAGTTTTTTTGTTTTTTCTTTGCAGTTTTTTTTTTTTTTCATTTATTTATTTATATGAGTGTTTTGCCTGAATGTGTGTAAGGGCACCA